TTCTGGGCCATATTGACCATTCTCTGCAGTGCCTTTCTTTCTCGCGAAGAGGTGTTGCCATACCACACGATGATCCACACGATTGCTTGATATTACTCCTGACATCCGTGCCTGTGAGAGGGTCTAGTGCCTGGTTTTCCTTTGGTTGTCTACTCAGGTATCAGTGATAGAATGGTCTATGAATATTTTTCAGACTCAATGTTTCCACATTTATATCTATAGTTTATTACTTTGCTACTACTAATGTTCAGTTCATACACTGGTTGCCACATCTGCCCTACATGACAGACAGAAGCTTACCAAGACAGAAGATACAAATCCCAGGGTAGATTGACATTTGCTTTCTACTGATTCAGAGCTGTTTATCTGTTGTGCCTTGCATCTCAACCCAATTCACAGACATCTTGGTCCAGAAGTTTGTACTTTCGTCTATAGTTGCCGCATCTGATAATGTATTTCCTTCAGACTTTCATGCCAACATAACCAAAGCCACTGCTCCTTGTGAAATAGCAGCTAGTTGAGCCATCTTCATCCATGAATTTCTTCTTCTAGATATAAGAGCCAAAATAATGGACAAACCTAATCATAATGGAATCTTAATTGTTTAATTAACTCAGGAACCACATCTGTATGGAAGCACCTGTTTTCGATATACTTTTTACCCATTTTTTACCCATCATTTACTTAAGTTTTTTTCCTTTATTTTAGCAGTTACCTCTAGCTACCAAATACAAAATAAGCTAGATGGGCTTAACAATCTCCTCTCATTTGTAATCTTTCTTAGATTCTTAAATCAGCAGGGCAATGCTTTGAGTGTTTGTGCAGGGCTGACTCTTAATTTACAGGTTTGAGAAAAATACCAGCTAATAGTTATAAACTTAATGTTGCCTGATCCTGCATTTATTTCAGATTTATTGAGGAGTTACAGTAATCCTACAGTCCAAACAAGTAGCTCATATTGTTAAACCAATAAGGTGACCAAGAAGTGTCTCTTGGATTTTAGATATAGTTTATGACACTAGGCAGAGTAAACACTTCTAGCACCAAAGCAGAGAAAATATTTGCTAAGATCTGGGGGTTCCCTTCAGCAAAAAAAACAATTGTAAAGTTTACCTTAGTATACCTAGGTATGTTGTGAGTTAATGATTACCAATGAGCAGTACAGAAACAAAACACACAATATAAGATCACATAAAGAGCACAGAGAGAGGGGGGAAGAGAGGAAGAAACAGGAAACAGGCAGCAGTAATTATACTTATGCTTGGCTATATTATAGAGAAATCACTCACAAGTTGGGGGTTATGAAGAATTATTTTACATATTATTTTACATATTGACTAAACCGTTCAGTCAGTTCTTTATTTTCACCATTTTTGTAACCTCCCATTTATAACAATATGTTTAAAAATGTCTCACATATGAAGGGCTGCAATGAGATTATAAAACATTGCCAATCTTAAAAAAATCATCTACAGATATTCTTTCTTTTGAAAGGCTTTTGGGGGTATACAATTCACAAATGAACAATTCAAAATTGTTTATTGTTTTCTGAGATCATAGTTGAAAATACTTCTTTCTCTGAGTCATTAGTTTCCCTGTTTTTGTTCACTTTTTTTTTCTATGTCGATATGGAATTTCAATATTGGAGGGTATTCCCTGGGCACTTCACACAGCCAGCAGAACAACATGAGTCATTATCAGCTAACAGGGAGGGACAACTAATACTTCCAGGCTTATAAACAGAGAGGAGCACATTTAAAGTCAGTGGACCAAAAAGCATGACCATCGACAGTGATTTTATTATAAATACAGCTACTGACATCTCTTCAACAACTTGAAATGTGGAGCATTTTCTGAATAACCACTTTTAATGATTTTTCAATTCAATGAAATGGACTTCAATGAACATCAAGAAAATCGGACAATACAGTACTGTTTCCATTCTGGCAATACATCATGCTTAAAAAAGGTCCGACCTACAGCAGTTAATGTCATCCTGTACTTTTTTCTGCTCGCAGTTGTATTTCTGACAGTGTGTGGAAATTTGTTGGTGATCATTTCTATCTCTCACTTCAAACAGCTCCACACACCAACCAACCTCCTTGTGCTCTCCTTGGCTGTTGCAGACTTTCTAATAGGAGTGACTGTGATGCCTTTTACAATGATTCAATCAGTAGAATCTTGCTGGTATTTTGGAGATACGTTCTGTACTCTGTATTCCGTATTAATTCTCTTGCTTACCTCTGTTTCTGTTAGTAGCTTAGTATTCATTGCTATTGACCGTTTCTTTGCTGTGTGTGACCCTCTGCTTTACTCTACTAAAATAACTGTAAATGTTATATATTTAGTCATATCACTTAGCTGGTTCTTATCACTATTGTATGCACTCTCAATTATTTATTCCAAAGGAAATATTGATGGTGATGAAGCCTTAGATACCTGCCAGGGAGATTGCCTGTTTACATTTAATGCAACCTGGGGACTAATTGATCTTGTGATGACATTTCTTTTGCCTAGTACTTTCATGATAACTCTTTATGCTAAAATTTTCATTGTTGCAAAAAGGCACGCAAGAGTAATCAGTTCTGCTTCAGCGCAAGTTACTTCTGGAGATAGAAGCAAAAGTAAAACATCAAATATATCAGAAAGAAAAGCTGCAAAAACCTTAGGACTTGTACTATTAGTTTTTCTTCTTTGCTGGATACCATACCATTTATGCACGATCATTGACTCATACATTAATTTTTCTGTGCCTTCAGATGTTATTAATACTCTTGCGTGGCTTGTATACATTAACTCTTCCATAAATCCTCTCATTTATGCTTTGTTTTATCCCTGGTTTCAGAAGTCAGTGAAACTAATAATAACATTTAGAATATGTTATACTGCATCTTCATTGATTAATTTGTATCCAGAAAATGTTTAAAATTAATTTGACATCTTAATAAACATTAAGATGCTTTAAAATATAACAAATATGAATGGGAAACAAAAGTTTGTTTCTGCTTTAATGACTATGTATACTGATTAAATAAACAGAACAGTTAACTTTTAGATGCAAGTTTCTGTTTTCCATGTTGTTTCATGGGTTAGATTTGTATAGGATTTGTGGGTAATCTTATCAATCTGGGCTACTAAATTAAAAGTTTTAAAGTTATATTTTTAATATGATTTGTAATTTGTTCATGTGTAAAACTTAATTTGACTGACAGTAAATGGAATGACAGAAATTCCTTTCAGTTGGGTTCCAAACAATCAAATTATAATTAATTGTGATCGTATTTAAAAAAGTAAATGCATCTGGATAAAGTGAACACCTCTCAGTGAGTCACTGTTAACTATCATACTCCACTTTTGGAAATTGTACATCCTTAGAGACATACTTACATTACAATGTATTTTGTTTTATCTCAATTTCACATTTTTTGGGCAAAAGATTGATGGTCAAGGAGTCAAGATAAACAAAGGCTGAGTAATTGAGAATCATTAGCCATTAATGGAAAAAATACTTTTGTTTGTGTTCTTGTAAGTTTTTAATATTTTATGATAACTTAAAAAGACTTTGTAAATACTAAGGCTAAATAAAATCACCCATAATCCCAAACCTCTTTTGATAAGTCAATATATTTTATATATATATTGAAAGCTGTAAGTAATTAAAGTGAGGCAATGTTAGACATTTTTCATCATAAATTTGATTTAGTTCTGTGACTTTTTAAAATCCAGGTAATTAAATGTACTTGTTATTTCATTTGGTCAGGCGTACACTCTAATAAACGTTCCCTTTAATATTTCTATATTAAAAAACACATTTACATGAATAATAACTGCCTTCAATTTTATTTGCTTTTATTTACACTGACTTTAACATTTGTGAAGGTTTAACCATGCATTGGTACATTTGTATAAAAGCATATTGAAAACAAAAAAGATGCAGAAAATTTAAAGTATGTCATTTTGTTTCTGGTGGGGGTGGTGCTGGTACGAATTATTAGTTATTAGTGTTTGGTTCAAAAGTGAAAATATAGTTTGCGTCATGAACCACTCGGTTACTTACTGTG